AACATCCAATGGCTGAACTCTAGAGATAAGACCTTCTGGAATAATTGCACTTTTTCCGTAAGACAATTTTTTACTAAAGCTACTGTGTGCTCTTGAAAAGAATCTATTTTCAAAAGAGATCTTGAATTTCCAAGCATATTTCTGGTTGTCCAGATATTTTCTACCCACCATAGCATCATTTCTTCATTCATATATCACTTTTTATTGCATTGAATTTTTATACCTAATGGAAAATTCTCACGTAGTCTATTTTTTAATTTGAAAATACATAAATGGGGCAATTTTGTGCCATTTGCCATGCATAAAAGAACAACAATAAAACTTTTTTTTTTGTAACCACCTGTCTGAATGCTAACCTTATGTGTACCAGTATGATCAAGAGTTGTACTATATGGAAGTTCAAAACATATAGGAACTTCATTTATATTCTTAATAAACTGTAATTCATAATTATATTGAATTCGACGATATAATATAAAACTTAAAAAATTTTGTTGTTTTTCATCCAATTCCTCTGGTAAATGCTAAGTTATATTAGTATGGCAACGATTAGAAAGTTTTTTTCTATTCATAAAACCATCAAACCACTTATTGAAAAATTGAAAATTTTGAATTTGTAGATATAAATCTTGATATTGCTGATTTTTAGCTAAAGATTTAGCTTTTAGTATTACATTTCTCCTAGTAACAGCTTGGGCATTTTTTTGAAGACTCATAATCTATTTGTACAACTCATCTTCCAAACATGGTAAGTATGCTCCTCTACCTGCATGAAGTTTTTGAACAAATGGAGCAACTGATTGTAACTGCAATTTTTGACTTTTCCATTTCCGAACTTGTTTTGGTTGAATGTTAAACCTTCTTGCAGTTCCATGAATATTTTGTGTTCTTTCAGCATAAAAAACAATAAGTAACTTTTCTCTGGCTGTCCAAAAACGGCGTACCTTTTTAGTAAGATGTGCTCTTTTAAAACTTTTACTATCTTTAGACATTATTAATTGTTACAACTAACGCTAAAAGCGTGAGAAAGCATGATTAATAACAGGATTAATTCTTTATAAAGAAAGCGTATTAGAGTTTCAGTTTGATTACTAATTACTGCAGCACTCACATAGTGCAACTTATACCCCCTATGCTGACCATAGTATCCCCAATTATAATACCCACATATACTGCTTAAATTGTAAAGTACTCTGGGTATTTTAGTCCATGCTGTACGGTAGCTTATAGGTTCACCCATGGGTAACCTGGGTGGCATTTTTTTGACAGGTCCAATCACTATTCTGCGCTCTAATATAAAAATTAGAATTTCTAGTTTAACTTAACACATATTTTTTACTTTAAAATATTACATATATTGAAATTAGTTTGATTCATTGAAGAGATCTGAATGGTGTATATTTGTTAATATTTCAAAAAAAATCTCTAGTAATAATATTATATACTTTTTCCAAACTTTGAACTAAAATATCTCACCAATTACCTATCTAAGTTGAAATAACTTAACTGCTGACTTTGTTTTAATATTCGTCTGAATTCTTTTTAACATCGAACAATTTCTTAACAGCAAAATCAGTAAACTTTTTTTATATTAATTCCATAAATACATAGGATAAAAATAAAAAACTATCATTATTGATTCTAAATATGCAATGCATAATTCTTACTGTAGTAGCCTACTAATAGTTCTACCCTAAAATCCTGAAAGACAGATTCCCGAAAAAGACATAATATTGACAAAGTTAGCCAGCATTGGTTATAATGTTGGTCAATTTAGTCAGTATTATGTTCTTTCAGGAAAATGGCTTTTGGGATTTCAGGATAGAACCCCTACTAATAGGGTTTCTATAAACCTGTAATTCAAAGTTCATAAACATGTTCAAAAGTTCAAAAAAAGAAAAAAGTAAATAATCGCAAAGATAAAAACACTTATATCTCATAATCTACTAGGCCAATTTTAATGTTTTAACCGCCATTTTGTTCTCAAGACACTTCTCTACAACTTTACCTAAGTATTGAAAAGAGGTTTACTTAGTAAGAAAAATTTTTTTCTTGAGAAACTCCAAAGTTGAAAAGTTTCTTTCATAATAAAAGTTTTGAATTTTAACTAAAACATTTTTCTTACTAAATAAACCTATTTTCAACTTCTAACAAAAGTTGTAGAGGAGTATTTTGCGATCAAAATGGTGGTTAAAACATTAAAGTCAGCCCAGTAAATCGTGAGATATAAGTATTTTTATCTTCACAATTATATGCTTTCTTCTTTATTTTTAAAGAAAAAATTTTTTTATATAAATAAAGAAGAAAACCAAGATAAAAATACTTATATTTTAATGGTTTAACCACCATTTTGATCGCAAGTTACTTCTCTACAACTTTTGTTAGAAGTTGAAAATAGGTTTATTTAGTAAAAAAAATGGTTTAGTTAAAATTCAAAACTTTATTATGAAAAAAAATTTTCAACTTTGGAGTTTCTCAAAGAAAAAAATTTTTTCTTTACTAAGTAAACCTCTTTTCAATACTTAAGTTGTAGAGAAGTGTCTTGGGAACAAAATGGTAGTTAAAATATTAAAAGTGGCCCAGTAGATCATGAGATATAAGTATTTTTATCTTTGCAATTATTTACTTTTTCTTTTTTTGAACTTTTGAACATGTTCATGAACTTTGAACCACAGGTTCATAGGAACTCTACCCACTAAGTTTATGAGCATACCATGCTTAGATTTGATTAGCCAACTTCCTAAAATTTCAGGTTGGGTCAGTTCAGGTTGAGGCTCTAACCAGCATAGCAGGCTTTCATCATGATTGGTCAATTTTTGTAGATCATCCTGTGAAATCATAATAATATTATTTTAAACTTTAACTAATTGTCATGAATAAAGAAAACTAATATGCATAAAGAAAGTAACTAAATTCAATATTGGCTGAATCTTTACCATCTATAAAATTTTGATAACTTTAACCCTAAAGCTATAATCTTGTCACAAACAAAGTTTTGACAACCCAAAATTTTATTAAGAAAGAATCTTAGCATATTACAAATTAAAAAAAAAACAAAAAAAAATAAATAAAGTAAAATAAAAAAAGTACATAAAGTAATATTTAAACTATTCTTAACACTAATAAAAATAATCAAACTCCACTTTTAATACTTGTTCTAACATCAAACTGATTTTTAATTTTATTTAACAATTAACAATCGTTCATTATACAGTTACAATAATATTGCTATATTCTATTTTAACATTTTCATGAAACTTATAAGCCTTATAATTCAACTTCAAATTATTAACCTATATAGTAAGGTTTTTTTATTAGTTAAGTTTATGAAGAAAGGGTTTTCACAAGCAAAGACAGCCTAAATTGCCGAGTTTAATTAATTTATTATACTTATAAGCTAAGCTAAAACGTTTAAACATACCTCACATTTAACTTCCGAATTACTTCGCGGATTACCGAATTATTTTGACAGTTGATAGAATGGAAGGAAGGTATTCTATTGAATTTTTTTGGTGTCAAGCTTTGCCAATTCGTACCCGTGGCTGCAAATCCATTTTTACAGCTGCAAAACGTTACGCTAATATTCTTTTATATCGTGTAAAATTTCGGTTGATCATCCAATCAAATTTAAATCCCGCTATGCTGCTCTAACCCGAAAATTTTAAACCCGACGCGAAATTTCGGATCGGGTTCGGGTTGGCTCAAATCCCAACCTGACCCGTTCTGAACACTAATTGTTACATTGATCGCAGATCAGAACAGGAACCATCAAATCGTGAATTTCAGCCGGACATTGCTCATAGAGTCCTCGGAAAAAAGTCTTATTACCAAATCATCTCTTTATGTGAATTTATAATAAAGACTACACTGTCTACAAGGAAAGAAGGCCTTTGGATATTTTGGTCATTTCTGCTCAAAAATCCAAATTTATCATACCGTATTTGCGCGTAACAATGCGCAGGGGTGTAATTTCGAATTTCGGCCTAAATTAGACTTAGTTCGAGCCGTGGCTCAAAATAGTAAAAAAATCCAAAAATCCATAATAAATTAATTTGTTATTGATATAAAATGATTTGTAATCATTACGCCACAACATTCTCAAATTACACGCACTTAGGTATTAACTAAAAATTTTCTACATCATCAAAAATGGAAAAAAATAAAAAAGGATGGACCAATGTTGCACAAAAATAAAACCAAATTTATGATTAATCTTACATTAACTGCTAATTTGTTCAATTTTGTTTGTATGTTTTTACGTGCAACCGGGGTATACTTTCCGGAGATTACATACTCTACACCTATGAGCATTTATTATAATAGACTATTGTTAAAATTTAGGTATAAAAAATTACAACAATAAAAGCATTTTGTATTTATCGTATATTTTAATTTGCAAAATATGACTAACGAACTCATTCAAAATTTGATTAAAGAATTTTCAGATTTGCTTGAGGTTTCTGAAGATTTTGATATGAAAATAATAGTTGGTGAAGAACCAAATATTAAAGAATTTAGAACTCATTCTAGTATTCTGTCAGAAAAATCAGCATACTTTAAAGTCGCATTGTCATCACGATGGGCAAGGAGAGAAAATGGAATCATCATTTTTACTAAACCTAATATTTCACCGTCAATATTTGAAATTTTTATAGAGTAAGTTTATTTTTTAAAATATGTAAATTGTCTATAAACTAAAGTCTATAATAGTCCCTATAATAAAAGTTTGTTCTGTTTTTGTTCCGTTTTTGTTTAGCTTTTGTCGGTATTGTTCAAAAAATGTTCAGAACGGAGTCATTATCGTAGTAAAGGCAGGACAAAAATCGTACATATTTTTATAATTGAAAAATTTAAAAATGTACAACTTTTGTTCTGGTTTTATACTATAATGACTCCATTCTGAACTTTTTTTGAACAATATCGACAAAAGCTGAACAAAAGCAGACAAACTTTTTTTATAGGGAGTGGTTGGATTTGGATGATATTCGGATATTTTTTGATCATCTGTCAGTACTTTTATCAATCAGAATATTCGGTCTTTCTTCTAGTATGGCATCTGGAAGCTGTCCGGTTATATTTTCTTTTATATTTACTATGCAAATAATAATATACATAATCTTAAAATATTGAATCAATTCACAGCTATTTTCATAAACACTCGGACAACTGAAACTTTTAATGACCGAATTGATTTAGTATTTTTTTCAGTTGTCTTAGATTTATGAAAACAGTTGTAATATTAATTCAATCACATTAACATCCTTCTCAGTAATTTGGCCGTATCTGCTTCCAGTATATTTTTGATCAAATGAAGCATAAAAAAGTCAAAGTACGAATAAGAGAGCTGTATTAAAAAAAATGCTTGAAAATACGTTTAATGAGTTATAGCTATTAGCATAAATCCTAGGCTAGCTGAAAAAGTTGATTATAACCGCTTGATAAGTTTTAAAATCAAATTCTGACTCGGTAATTTATTGATTGATAATAGCTGTAATAAAAAGAAATTTTGGAAATCTTATTCAATGCCACCATTTCTTTTTAATATAACATGTAGATATTATCCGAATATCTGAAAGTCCAAATCCATTTGCAAAATTAATATTAGGATATCTGGACCATGTACAGATATACAAATAAGAAACTGTGGAATTAACTAAAATATTATTTAACCTTTATAAAACATAGCTATTCATACAGGAGCATTTTTTAATAGAAATGAAATTAGCCTTCTCGATATTTATATTGCAGCTGATGAAATTCAATTAGATGAAATTTTACAAAAAATTGAAAATTATATGCTAGAAAATGCATCGGCTTGGAAATTTCCAAAAGACTTTATTAGAATATGTGAATATAATAATATTTTGACTAATTTATATCAAATTGCATTAAAACATGTATGCAAAAATCCAAAAATTATCTTTGAATCGGAAGACTTCTTAAAAATTGATGAAAATAATTTAATCAACATTTTAAAATGTAACGATCTTAAGTTAGAAGAGATTGAAATTTGGGAATATTTAATTAAATGGGGAATCAATAATTCAGATTCTAATTTAACAAAATGGACGAAAAAAGATTTCATAGGACTTGAAAAAGCTCTACATAATTGTATTCCTCACATTAGATTTTTCCATTTATCAATTAATGAACTTCGTTTAGTTATATCTAAATATAGAAATATCTTACCAGATAAACTTCTTAATGAAATTTACAAACATTTATCAAATCCTAACCCTAAATATTATAGTTTACCAAGAAGAGAATATATTAATTCTAAAATTATCAAAGTTGAAGATGCAGAATTAATAACAAGTTGGATTGATGAAAATGAAGGAATACGTTATCGTTTTAAGGATATACCTTTCAAATTTAAACTTATTTATCGAGCAAGCAGTAATGATTTTAGATTTGATAAGTTTCATGAGATGTGTGATGGTAAGAAACAAACCATTGTCATAATTAAGATCCGAAATTCAAATAAAATACTTGGTGGATATAATCCAATAGGTTGGTACAAAGAAGATTCAATAAAAAATCAGAAAGATATCAATGAATACTATGGATATAAGTTCAAAGAAACATCAGAAAGTTTTATATTCTCACTATCTACGTTAAGAAATGGAACACACCCCAGATTAAGCTGAGTCTATTGTAAACAAAAAGCAATCGCTTTGTGTATGAACAAAGGGCCATGCTTTGGTTTCCGAGACATGTGGATAGAATATAGTTCACGAGGATATGTTATTGGTATAAGTAATCAACACTCTTACGAAAAAAAAATTATTGAAAGAGACATTTTTGGAATTGAAGAATATGAAGTATTTCAAATTAGAAGAGTATCAGCATTAACTGGATTTGACATGTCAATGTTCAAGAAAATATCTAAAAAAAATTATATATAATGAAGATAATGAAGTACTAGAAGTACGTGGATTAGGGATCGGCTCATGCATAGGCTGCGGCATAATAAAAAGCTGTACAGGCTGTGGAGAATTAGAACGCTAAAGCGATGTGAAATTGTAGCGCAATAAAACGTTGCAATACCTGTGCCTGCATAGTTTGCAAATATAAATTTAACCGATTTGTGGGATTAGGGAAACGTAGATGTGCTAATTGCGGCGAATTAAGAATCAGAGAGGCCTTTAACTGTACAGCCTGTGGAGCATTAAAACATTGTGTCTGCGCTTGCATAGTTTGCAATAGGACTGCAAGGTCGAAGTTTTCCGGATGCAAAAATGGTGTAAGATTAGGAGTCGGTCAGTTACAGTTATGACAGGTCATTGACCAGTTATAATCGTAACCGATACTGGTCGGCCAGATTGGTTAAAGTTCGCAGTTCAAAACTGTATGATAATTTTGATTTGAGCAATTGGTATTGTATTTTTGAATCTCCAATTCTTTTTATATTACGGGTATCTACGGTATTACAAATTTAATTACTTTCAGAATTGAAATCGAATACAATCACTTGAACAATCATCTGATTTTTGTCCGGTTAATTTAATAATCATATTATATCATATATATTATTGGCTCAAATCCTATGTAATCTCATCATTCAATTTCTAATCACAAAAATTGAAGATTTCCGCCCATATGGAATCATGATAAATTAGCTGGCTTTAACAATTACGATTACAATCACAATTATTTTAATTATAAAAAAATAACTATAGGGGTCGCAAAATTATGTAAACCGCAGTAACGTTAATATTGATCTTTGACCAAAAGATGCACTTTACAATCATGCAATCAGATGTTTGTATGGAGTAGGTTCCAGGACGTGTACTCTTGCGGTTTACAAAATTATGTGAAATTTGCAGATCGAAAAAAAAGAAAAGAAATCGATGATTTCTGATTGCCGATTATCGTATGTATACGTATCAACTAATATTACACAGTACTATATAATGACTTATACATTTATATATATATTATATAGATTTATTTAGCATGCATTTTTTTAAAAAAAAAAATCATTTCTAATGACCAAAATTATTATCCAGAACATGTTTCGGATGCATAAAGTGTCATTTTTGTACAGCTAAAATTTATTGTAATGAAATATATATATATATATTCCAATAAAAAAAATTATACTAAAGTTTCTTATACTTTTACTTTGAAATTCCATGATTCTATCGATTCTATCAGTAATAACCAAATTAATTTCTAGTATCATGTAATAATTTTTATAAGATTGAATTGGTGTAACTTTTAAATTTTCTTCTTACTTAACATGCAATAGTAAATTTGGGAAGATTGAAGAACAAGTACCCCGTGATATATTCGTGCTAATCACATCACCTGATTAAGTGTTCGGCCTACGTTAGGGTTAGTGTTAGGGTTAGGTGATACGTTAGTTTAGGCTAATTTGTTTAGTGCTTGTGAACAAATGACGTAATTGTGTGATTTCATGTGATGTGATGATGATCACTGGGGTACTTGTTCTTCAAGTGTCCCATCGAGCTAGAAAAGAAACAAATTTAATATTACACAATCAAGTTCTTTACAACATGATGAATATGCAAATCATATTCCTACAAAAGATGTAAAATCAATATATGTTACAAAATTATGAATCTAAACCTTTATTTCTACAAAAAATGTCAAAGAAATCGGCAACTAGAATTAGAAATCATCGATTTCTTTCTTTTTTTTTTTGATCTGCAAATTTCAAATAATTTTGCAAACTGCAATAAATCAAATGTGTAAGAGTGAAGCGTCTATTTTTAATAAAGGAAAGAATCCCATCTTAATAATGAGAAAGCATAGCCATAATGAGTTTCTTTCTTCAAATCTTCACATCATTAGCTCGTCCGTATAGAATTACTATTCACACTACGTAGAAACCTCGTATCATTCAATCCACGCTTCATAATGTGTCGCCCTCGCGATCAACTGTTACACTATGATTTCTTGCCCAATAATAAATTGATTGGGCAGAGATGATAATTAAAAGGTTAAAATTAGTTTAAACCATTATCTCGGCCGAATAATAAATTTATTTGACTGGCAAATCATAATAAGCTGCCGTATAAAAAGCTGGACATCTAATTAAATTTTCCATAATCTTCTAAATTTGTAATTCAAAGAATATGAATAATGTATAAAAATCAACATGATTGACTTTGTTACACGATAGATCGTTGTTGATATAAATTTTTATTTGAAGAAAAATGAGATGAGTAAAAATTTCCTTTCTGGGCATGATTCCTTCAAAAAAATATCACATTATATAATCAAACTAGCAAATAATCATCGCTTTTCTTCGGGATCATTAAGAAAAAATAAGGATCATTTTAATTTCGAGTTTATTTTGTTACACAAAAAGCAACTTTTACATTTTAAGACCCCAAAATTCCGCATCGAATTCATGGCTGATCGACCGGAATTGATTAATTTCCTAAAAATTTACTAATGATGAAGTCATAGTCATTCATTAAGTAAAAAATGCCCAGCCTGACGAGGTTGGCCTATGGTTATGTCCATTGTCATTTTTTTAAGAGCCCATCTTACAACTCTGTACCCAGCTAATAATTTTTATAGTTTATGTTCGCTAACATTGCCTTAACTTTGATGTATTCCGGCTCGAAATTTTGGAGATGCCCAGTAAAAACACTATACTAGAATGTTATCAATTCCAAATGCCGAGTCTTTGTGAAGGTCGGTCCAAATCCTGGGACTCGACTCACACTACCGTGTGTTTTCATATTACAATACAGTATCTGTAAATCAATGATTATGCATGCGAAGTTGCGCCATTGACAATCAATATCTGATATAACATGCGGCCATTTTCGACTTGGTCCCTTAGGGTTTTTAAAAAAGCAATTTCTACTAACATTTCGACATTGCTTGTTTTTTTTATACGAACTAGCTGTAAGACCCACGTTAAACGACAGGTTAATAATAGCAAGTTAAGTAATGTCACGGTTTAGAATTTAAACCCGTGACTTAGATGTGACTTGGCGGTACTAAATGCCCGAATGACCTGAGCCACAAGAATATTGAGACTCCTAGGTGGCAAATCTAACGTGCTATGAGCAGTAGATAGATAAACCCGTTATTGTTGGCCATGGATTGTTGTATAAGCAGAGAGGCTTTTTGCAAGACAATGCTGTTAGCGGCCCGTGAACAACGCTGCTTTGCAAGGTTACGCAAACATAGAGTAGCAAGAGAGCGTAGCGCAGTAGAATATATGAGTTCAAAATGTATTTAAGGCCTGAGTTTCGCCTTAGTAAAGTTTCTTCAGAATACGATGTCTTAGTTATAGAGTTTATAATAAGAATCGGATTCTCACATGTGTAATTAGTTTATTATTCTAGTTTTATTCTTTTATTATTATATTATTCTTTATCATTGTTATTATTGTCTTACATTTTCTTATATTATTGTTACACAATAAATTACCCCGATAATGAAAGTTGATCTATTAAGTGATAACCAGTCATAAATCACGAACCAAGTTAAATATCGGAGCTAAATTGGATTAGCATCCGCAATTACTCTCCCAACTGATGGTAATAGTAATATAAATTTAATGATTTGCTGTTTAAAATTATTACATAAATTTTCAAACCAAAATATATAAAAAGCATAAATCTATGAAATATAAAGCCTTTAGGCCACACAAAGTTAATTATTCGTTTTGCATTACCCGCTGATCCATCTTTTCAATTTTTCGATTTTTTTTTTTTTTAAGTTCCAATTGTGCCAATTGTTCTATTTTTGCCATTTAATTTTTTCCATAAATTAATCCGGTATCACCCGATAGAGGCCTTATTTTTCTGGAATTGCCCGATAGAACTGATTAAAACAATGATTGCCGACCCAATTTTCTGATTCCACGTTATGCAAAGCGAAAAATTAACTATGTGTGGCCTTAAATATGAACATGAGTCTATTAATTACTGTATATTAAAGAAAATCCGACAGACCGACTGTTGATTTTGAAATCTATGTAAGGCCACGCAAAGTTGATTTTTCGTTTTGCATTACATGGATTTCAAAATTAGGGACGGACGGACGGATTTTTTTT